GGAGAGTCACCTGGCCAGGCGAGGTCACGGGTGGTCGTCGTCAGAGGCCCGGCTCAGGGGCCGCCACTAGGCCCCGGTCAGCTCCCCTGGGCAGAGCGTGCCGGCTCGCTACCTCGCCTGGGTTGTTGCTCCTCTTTTGAAAAAAAACCCTGGAGCCGAAGCGCCCCACGGCGGCGGGTCCGGGCCTCTCGCCGGGTGAGGGGAAAAAGAAAAAGCTCGCGGTGGCGGCACCCCGGTCGCGGTCTTCGGTGGCTCAGGGGCCGCCACTAGGCCCCGGTCAGCTCCCCTGGGCAGAGCGTGCCGGCTCGCTACCTCGCCTGGGTTGTTGCTCCTCTTTTGAAAAAAAACCCTGGAGCCGAAGCGCCCCACGGCGGCGGGTCCGGGCCTCTCGCCGGGTGAGGGGAAAAAGAAAAAGCTCGCGGTGGCGGCACCCCGGTCGCGGTCTTCGGTGTGAGTTGGCCCAGAGGCCTCGCTTCTCCCCATACCCCCCCCCAGGGCGGCTGGGGTTGGCTGCTCGTCCTCCTTGGCTCTCCCCAAACCTCCCAGGTTAATGCCCGGGTATTTGCTGCCCGACCCAGCCCCACTCGGCTGCCCCTTCCTTGGCTTGGGTGTCCGCCCCCCCCCCCGTTTCCCAAATCTCTCAGTCGTGGGTAGGGTCTCTAGGCGGTGTGGTTGCCCTCTTGGGGATCTGCTGGTGGCGGTGGTGAGAAAGCTGGGTGGATTCACCTCACCGTTGGAGGCTGGTTGTAGAGAAGTGGTTTTCGGTGCGATCTTCCTTCCGCAGGTTTCCAGGGACGACATAAAAACCGTTAGGTTCAGTGGGACGCCTGTTCAGGTGATAGCCGTTTTCTAGGGCGCTTTAGACTGAAATTAGTACTATTTATTTTAGGAGACTTAGCTTTTTTCCACAGGAACGGTTCATGATAGAAGTGGGCTGTTAAAAGACTCCTCCTGATATCCAACGGTAGAGGAGGTTTCGTGGAACTAGATATGAACTCTCTTGGCAGTTTGCAGATGGTTCATTGCCGGTTGGGTGGTTGAATTTTTTTCCCCTGTCACTAGGAAGAAACAAAAAGAATATAATCCCATGCAGTGCGAAAGCTTTCAGGACATTTTGGACACCAGAGATATTGCAACATGTCTTGTGCAGAGAGCTATAGCACTGTTTTGGAATACAGCTGGGATTTCTTGCACCTCCTTCCATGTGCCAAAACCTAAATATAACATGAACCTTCTTCAGAAATACAGATCCAGGACTGGAGATTGTCCTTTGTGTTTTCAGCTGTCTATAGCTTGGAGCCAAAACCTGACATCTTTTATCTGTTTATATTCCTTTTGCTATTGAATGGCTGTCATATAGTCACATAGTTAATACAGCAATTAAAATAATCCAACAATCAAGCTAATGATTAAAATTTGTAAAAAAAACCCCCAAAGCCTGATACTTATTTATTCATATTATCCTGTTTAGGTAAATACTGTATTTCATAGGATAGTCTGAAGCTTTAATCCCATGTTCATGTCTTCTTGAATTTAGCAGGAGTAGACCAATGGATCAGACCAAGGGTCCATGTGATCCAGTATCTGGCTTCATATTCTGTCCAGCCAGGTCCGTGTGGGAAGCCCAAAAGCAGGACATGAGGGCAATAGCCCTCTCATACTGTTGTCTCCCAGAAACCTGACAGCAAAAAGCTAGTTCATGTGGTTCTGGAATTAGTATATGATCATCAAATGTAGTATCCATTAATAGCTCTAACTTCATGGCTTTGTCTACTCTTCCAAAGCCTCCTTAGTTTGAGACCATCAGGAACCTTTGTGGCAACAACATCTGCATTTTAACTGTGTAAATAAGTAGTACTTTTGTCTCCCCAGAACTTCCTGTCAGTTAGCTTCAGCTTTTGCTCCTGTACTCTTAAAAGGGAAGGAAAGATTTCTTTTCTGCATATATATAATTCCATAGACATCAGTGGTATCTTCTTGTACTTGCAATTTTTATAATCCCCAGAGAATCAGATATTGTAATTTTCTTTCAGAAGGGCTTACTTCAGTTCTTGCTCCTTTTAGTTGCTGTTTTCTGTATTTGAGCTCCACAGTATCCTTTTTGAGATGCAGCGAGCAGAATTGGGACTTCCTTCTTAGAAAACCTGAAAAGAATTGTTTTTCTGAGGCCCTTAGTAACAAGGCCATGTCTGCCTTTTCAGGTGTATCTGTCCACCGCTTTCTCTTGTTTCTTTTGAAATCTCAGTGGAATACTAGGACTGTATTTACATACACTGTGCTTTCAGGGTCAGAACCCTTGAGGCAGAGATGATTAGACATCCACAAAATATGAAGTTGAAAACAACTACAGTATTTGCCTTGTTGTATGGAGTGAGTATGCATTGCTTGATTTGGCCAGGCACATATGGGTTATGCAGGTTGGTTCATTTTTACTTTGCGGTCACAAACAAATAAAGTAGGAATATGACGGCAACTGATTATGAATGTTTGAATTGTTGTATTCTTTAAAATCCCATCTATAAGGAGGCACTTATTGTTATTCTAGCAATAATTCCTTATGAAATGAAAGAACTGCAAACAAAATATGGCTCAGAGAGAATTATCCACTGTAGGAACACTCCGCTTTACTCTGTAATTCAAATGAATATTGCCAATTTTAAGCATAGTTGTGCAGACTGAGCTTCTCCTAGTCTGTGAACATACATCAGTTGCATTTGCTAATGTTGCCATGTTTCTTCCTGTGTTGTTGTGTGAAGGGTACTATTGAGTAGTGTGATTGTTTTTTTTAAATTACTCAAAGTTTGAGAACATGGTTGTTTTTGCTAATATGGAAGAATGACAAGTGGACATACTAGTGCTATCAAAACACATTTGGGACTTTGCTGTATATTTGCTACTTGCTGTATATTGTTGGCAAGATCCTTGGTTGGTGTAGACTGGAAATGAAGAAAAAATAAAAGGTCATCAATATCTGCTTTGATTTTCTAGTAGATGGAACAGGTTGTGTGGAAAAGAGCAAGTTGAAATATAAGCTACAGATACATTGTCTGTGGGACTGGAAGACATATACGTCACAGAATAACAACTTCTGGGAAAGCTGTTGTACTCTGTTCTTATACAGGATTTCCGTACGCTGATCAGCTACAATGTTAAAACCACTGACAGGTGAACTGGAATTTGAATCATGGAAACTCGACTTTTTTCTTATTAGGTTGAAACATTTTGCTACTCCACATTATGGACACTCTATCAGGGGTCTCCTACCAACTCTCCTCAGACTGAAGAAGCTACTTGGATGAGTAGTGAAACGTTTCAACATAATGAGAAAGAAGTCGGGTTGCCATGACTCAGTTTCCAGATAACAACATCTGGATGACAGAGAATCTTCACGGATATCTGACTGACAGGTGAAGTGAATAGCACTGATTGTATAGTTACATTGGCGCCTATCAAAGGGTGGGATATATTGAGCAGCAAATGAAAGATCAATTCTTGAATTTCATGTGTTGGGAACAGGAAATATGGTCAAGCAAAGTGATATGCAGTGCTTAGCACCTACCAAAAGTGGTGGAAGGACAACTGGTGAACTGGCATCAGGGTCAAGGGAGCCCAAGGCTCATTTATGCACGTGGGGAGGGAAGGCTAGTCCATCTGGTCTGATCACACAGAAGAGCTACTGTACAGTTTTGGTCATAGTAAGGTGTCAAAATACACAGCGCATAGCAGTTTGCTGCTTTTGGGGCTGCTTAGCTGCAGAATGTAACGTGAGCATCAGAACTGGACCATGGAACAAGATAAGAAGGTTGCCTGGTTTGATGAATCACATTTTCTTTGAGATCAGGTGGATGGCCGGGTGTGTGTACGTTGTTTACCTGGGGAAGAGATGGCAGAAGAAGGTGGGCCAGTGGAGGCAGTGTTCTGCTGTGGGTAATGTTCTGCTGAGAAATCTTGGGTCCTGGCATTCGTGTGGATGTTACTTTGTCATATAGCACCTACCAAGAGGTTGTTGCAGACCACGTACACTCCTTCATGGTGATGATGTTCACTGAGGATAATACACCCTGCCCCACTGCAAAAATTGTTCAGGAATGGTTTAAAAACATAACAAAGAGTTCAAGCAGTTGTTTTATCCTCCAGATTCCCCAGATCTCAGTCCAACTGAGCATTTGTGGGATTTACTGGAACTCCAAGTCAGATCCATGGAGGCCTCACTTTGCAACTTACAAATGAACTTAAAGGATCTATTGCTAATGTGTTAATGCCAGATACCACAGGACACATTCAGAGGTCCTGTGGAGATAATCTGTAACTTTTTTTGAACTGTCTTATTATTATGTAGTTATATATGTCTTATTTTGTTCTATGGAAATGAATGTCAATAGATATGTATTGTTTTCTGGGATTTGTTACATATTCTGTTTAGGAATATCTATAGGAATATGTATACATAATGAAATATATATTTTTCATTATTTCAAAATCTTGATTTCACATGGTTCTAAACCACTGAACTTTTATGGTTGTATTTTGCTTTGTTTTCCTGTTTGGCTAGGAACTTCACAATTTTCCCTAGGCCCTTCTGGCTTGTGCTAAGTGCCTTGATTTACAACCATAATCTGTTCTAGAAGATGGACGTACAGTGGGGTCTCGACTTAAGAACTTAATCCGTATTGGAAGGTGGTTCTCAAGTCAAAAAGTTCTTAAGTCGAATCTGCATTTCCCATAGGAATGCATTGAAAACCATTTAATCCGTATCTGCTCTTTTCTGTCCATAGAAACTAATGGGAAGCTGCTATTCTGCCTTCTGCCACTAGAGGGGGATATTTTCTTTCTTTTTTCCCCTTAGGTTCAGGGAAGGCAGGGAACACTAAAGGCAGCACTTTAGAACTCTTTTTTTAAAAAACGAAGCCAATTTTAAATAATGTTTTAAAGCATGTTGTGCTGATTTTTTCAGCACAAAGGTACTCAGGCAGGCTTTTTAGGTGCTGAGCAAGCCTCCGGAAGCCTGCTCAGAGCCAGCTGATCAGCTGTTAGGCGGGGAGAGGAGCGGGGAAAACCACAAAATGGCTGCCAGGCTCTTTCTGGGTGTCGGCTTTTAGCTCTTTCCTGCTTTTTTTCCTGTGGTTTGAGGGCTACCAAGGCCTGGTAAGTGACTTTATTTAACAGTACAGTATTTATTTTTAAGTTTCTGACCCTTTCCCCCCCTCCAGAAGCCTCTAAGGGGAGGGAGGGGGGACTTTTTTCCCTGTTCGTAACTCGAGGGAAGTTCGCATGTCGAGTCCTTACTTTCCCTATAGGGCAGGTTCGTAACTCGAATTGTTCGCAAGTCGGGTCGTTCGTAAGTCGAGACCCCACTGTATTTGTAAACTCTGTACCTCGGTCAGTCTGCAATTGCGCCACCTGGTGGCCAAAGCGTCGCTCAAATGATCTAACCCAATTGCAACCCCCCCAAAAAAACCCATTGGAGCACGCCCCACACTGGGACTGCAAAAAATCACAAAAAAACAACAACACAGCACAGAAACATAACCCCCCAGCCCAAAGCCACCCTGCAAAAGCAACCCAGAATAGTTTTTAAAGAACAAAAAAGCAACACCTTACCTTACCCGGCAGTCTGAAGCCTCCTCTAATCACACTCACTCCCTGGCTGCTGCTGAGGTGGCGACAGCAGTGCCAGCCATGATGGAGGGCGAGCCTGGGGCGAGTGGCTGGAGCGCCCCAGCCAGGCTCAGCCTCTGGGCACTGGGACGCCAACACTGGCGCCCCATGCCCCATCCCTGTAAAATCCTGTTGGGTGGCAACAGCGCTTGCCCGGCCGCTCGGCTTCCTTCAGCGCCACCTCTGCGCCGGATGCCTGCCAGAGCTGGTGCCAGTGCTGGAGCGGGAGGCAGTGCCGAAGGAAGCCGTGCGGCTGGGCAAGTGCCGCTACCGCCCAACGGGCTCCTACAGGGACAGGGCATGGGGCAGCACCGTCCTGGTGCCGGGAGGCTGAGCCTGGCCGGGGCGCTCTGGCCGCTTGCCCTGGCCTTGCCCTCCGGGCAACTGTCTCAGATGCCCCCAGCCTGCAGGAGTCTGGATTGGCTAGAGGACTTCTGCTCTAACCATTGGGGCAAAAGAAGAAGTACAAAGAAGCAGCCTCTTCACCACCAACGGTTAAAATTTGAATTTCCTGCCCCTTTTCCCCTGCCTTTTTCTGATCCTAAGTGGAAGTTCTGGTTGCAAGTTGAAGAAAAATTTTGTGGCTAGAGCTGGTCATAAGTCGAAATGATCGTAAGTAGGGATATACGTAAGTTGAGTCATCACTGTAATTTAAGTTATGGGGTGGATGTTTCTACTCATTATTATTTATTGCATAATTTCATCTGCTGTCTGCTACTGTCTATAGATTGTAAGGTTCCTGGCTTTTTCACAGAAGAGTCTTTGAAGCAAACACTATCCTATTAGAGAATGTTTTCAAAGACATCCTGTCTAGAATCTCAGAAAATAGAAATTCATTTACGTATATATTGACATATATTTATCTAGTTATTTTCGTGCAGTTTCATGAGGACCTGTAAAACTTTTATAATTTTTTTTTCTTGCAAGTAATCTATTTCTGATCAGCACTTTTCACCCTGTTTCAGCTTTGAGAATAGTGGCCATTCACACGTATTTGAATTATGACATCAAGAGGTTCTGGCACAACATTTTCTCGCAAGAATTACAGGTTAAGCACAGAGCCTGAGAAGTCCAAGATTGCAGGTAAGAGCGCTGTTGTGGATTGTCTCTTGGGGGCGGATAGAGAGTAGCTATTAGAAGAAATGTTGTATAGACTAGAAAGCAGAGCACAGTGAGACACTTTGTGACTTACTGTGATTTGTTTTAGATATGATTTACTTGAATTTCTTTTGCTAATCAATGACATATTGTCCTGACTTTCCAAGTCAGAGTTGGAGTTAGAGCAGGTCTATTTGAATAAATGGAACTTAGGGAGGAGTTGGCTCACCAAATCCCCACTGATTGAATGAGCCTACTCTAATGTGATTTCCTATGCTAAGCAATAGGCTTTTAACCACTGTTTTGTTGTGTCAATGTGCCAGTGTTCAGTAGAAGAAACACAAGCTGTAAGTAGGCTAGCTAAATGCAAAAGTGGAAAAAGTTCCTCTAGCTTCCGCTGTTTTGTAGGCAATTAAACATTTCAGTAGATGTTGCAAAAGCTGACTCTCACATGAGGTAGTATGAATTATTTCAGTGCTGTTAAATTGTTAATCCTTCTGGAAAGCTTTAACAGTGCAATTTTATAGAATTGTGTAAGTGCCACTGATTTCGATAGGAATTTCTCTCAGATAAATATATATAGAATTGCATCCTACATTTCTGAAATGCCCTTTGGTGTCAGGAATTAAGAAGCTTTGTTGAAACAAATATGTGAATTGTTTAACTGAAATCATTTCACTTTACTTTGGGGAAAGTAGTGTGCAGGATTGGAAATGAGGTGTATAAGTTGTTTGTTTGCTTGGAAAAAATACCTACAAAAATATATATATACCCTGTCTCCAATCCTGCATGTTATTGAAGGCAAGCATTTTTACAATCTTGAAACAGCAAAAACTACAGTAGTCTGGCCATGTTGTCAGGATGTTGGAAGGCTGTCTCCCAAAATACATCTTCTATGGAGAAGTTGTTGCAGGTGCAAAGGCTATGTTGAAGTCAACATTAAAAGGTTTTAGTGTTGACCATGTCAGTTGGGAAGGTCTCACTCAAAACCAAAGTGAAATAAGAGGCTAATTAATTTGAAACAGAATTAAGGATGCACAGAAGACAGACAAGAGAACTGAGAAAGCAAGGAGGTAGCTTCTCACATAACCTGTCCCTATTGTTTCTGTATCTTCAGGGCTCGTATTGGGCTAGTTAGTCACCTGCATGTCCCTCATTGTGGTACTGCTCAACCTTAACCACTCACTTCTATTTTTCTCTAAATGGTGATTCTGATGGAGATGGTCCTCTTCGAAAATGAAGAATAAACTATATATATTTTGTTAGGTCTGTCAGTTTCTAGCCCACACCAACATAGAGGAGTCTGTGGCTTTGAAGAGGCAAGTCTTCATTATGCAAAGCTTTTGATGCTTGTAAGGAGAAATTCAGTTGAAGTTAAAGATAGAAGAATGAATGACATCAAAGAAGTTGAAAGTAGAGTGTGTGCTGGAAAGCTGTTCTGAAGTTCATTTGACTACAGAATGAATATTTTTCAGGACAAAGTATATACAGTACAAGATAACAGTAAAATAACATGGCTTTTCTCTGTGACAATGTGTCATCTTGTTTTCCATTTTCCTTGTGGCTGTTTTGTACTTCTGTTCTCATTTTTGTTGTTATGCACTGTCAAGTTGCCTCTAACTTATAGTGACCCTATGAATGAACAATCTCTAAAATGTTCTGACCTGCTCAGCTCTTGTAAACTCAAGCCTGTGGCTTCCTTTAGGAAGTCGATCTGTCTTATATTTGGTCTTCATCTTTTTCTGCTGCCTTCCACATTTCCCAGCATTATTGTCTTTTCCAGATAATCCTGCCTTCATTATGTGTCCAAAGTTGGACAGCCTGAGTTTCATTATTTTTGTCTCCAGAGATAGTTCAGGTTTGATTTGATCTAGGACTCACTTGTTCATCTTTCTAGCAGTCCACAAATGTAACATCGGCATCTTATGAATGGATAATTTGGCATTCAAATTGCAGGCCAGCATGTGTTTATCAAGCCTCCAAAACTGGGTCTAACTATTGTTTTATTTATGAATCATTCACAAGACCAAGATATGTTTCTCCCTTTATTCCTGAGTAATTGCAGAATTCACCTTGTAGTGGGCAAGTGTATATGTGAATATACTTTTGGGTGGTCAACAGATTGTCTAAAATAGTAAGATTTTTAGCACAAATAAATGATCATTATATTTGGCTTTGAACTCATTTTTTCACATGGGTTGAGGTTCTTACTGATCCCAGATTGCATGAATGGAACTGATGCTTGGTATGGTAAATGCAGGGGCAGTAGATGCCTGTTCTTGCAGGCTGAATTTTAGATTGTAGCTTTAAAAAACAAGATGTGGTATGGCATTTTGGCTTATGTTATGAGAAAACCTGTCTGCACAGCATTGTTGGTTTAGTTTGATTTGGCTTGTCTGTCATTGGCCCTGTGTGGCTTTTTGCACATTTTGCAGTTTGTGCATGCAAAGAATACGGTCAGACAAAGAGAAATACGGTAACAAGAGCAGACCATCTGATCAGTCATTTCAGGCAGTGTGTTATAACTTCTCCTGCCAAGTAACTCAAGTCAGCACTTAGATAGCAGCATGGCAGCAATGAAGGATAGATAGTATATTAATGTGTTGTTCGAAACTTTGGACAATGCATTGTAGTATCTCATCTTGAATAAATTTTGTTAATTCTCTCATGAAGGAATCTGGAAATAATCTTGCTTATGAACAGCACTCATGATGTGAGGCACACCTTTTCATCTATTTACTGCATATGCTCGGAAATACTGCATGAAAATCACCTTGGTAGAATGACCTTTCTAGGGCTGCTGTTCTGTGGGCACTCATAAGCATTTCTTTGAAGTTAATGTGACCTATTTTGAAATAAATATGCTTGGGATTGTAAATGACTGATTGTGATGCAGTGTTGTTAGAATTGCTTTCTTAAATTTCACATTTGTACTGTTCAAGTAGTATGATATAGTTCTTATTGTGTGGAGAGGGCATGATCTGAATGTACTGTACATGATGCAGAAATTTTGCTTAAGTAGCAGTGTAAAATGAGAAATGTTATATTTGTGGATTGCAATTCCCATAATGTCCTAGCAAGGCTGGGATATTCTGGGAGCTGTAGCTGAAAAGAATAGCTTTTGCCAGGGTAAGAGATCACCTGGGAACATCACATACAGTGGTGCCCTGCATGATGATGATAATCCGTCCCGTGAAAATTGCTGTTTAGTGAAATGTCTTCATGCGAAAACCCTTTCCCCATTGGAATGCATTGAAACCCGGTTTAATGAGTTCCAATGGGGAAAATACCTCACCGTCCAGCGAAGATCGCCCGTAGGGATGCCATTTTGCGAGCACCGATCAGCTGCAAAAATGGCTGCCCTGCGAAGCATGGGTCCGGAAAACACAGGGCAGCCATTTTGCAAAGCTGAAAAAATCGTCGTCTTGCGAACAAATGGTTCGCGAAGCACGGACCTAATCGACGTCCAGCGAAAATCCCCCATTGGAATGACTGTTTTGTGAAGCGCTATAGCGATCGCAAAAGTCATCGTTATGCAGATTCGTCATTTAGCAGGGTCGTCGTTTAGCGAGGTACCACTGTATACTGCTTTTAGTTCTTTAGAAGAAACATATGATTTAATAAATTAGTAAATTAGAGAGGCATCCTGATCCCCTTTGTGTCACCTGTGGAAATGAAATAGGGGTCTTTGAGGTTAAACCTTGTAGTTCGTTGCTAACATATCTCTTGTTGTTTGTCGTAGGGATAGTGAACAGCAAGCTACTGAATGATTATCTGCATCGCATCTTCCCTAGTGCTGATGGAACTCAGCCTACTGCTGCCTATAGGTACTGGGCACCAGACTCATGGAATAGCAAACAAAGCTGTATCTGTACCTGTACTGACACTACTGATAAGCACTCCTTTAACACACTTCATTCATCACTTTGCCCTAAATCAACTTGAGTTACTTGGAAAAATAATTGAATGAAAACTCCAGTGTGAGAAGTATTTTCCAAATTTCTTTTCACATAACAGGGCTTATATGCAATTATGCAATTATTTTGAAGGTCTGTGTGAAAGACAGAGAAAACACATGATTTACTGACCAAATATATCATTTCTGTAAATCTGTAAATTTCATAATATATCACTTCCTAATGGCCAATAATGATGAAGTTTAACATGTTCAGTATTTGAGTGCACTCGGAAAATTTTAGGTGCTTTCTGAGTGTCTTGTGAGTAGTGAGAAAGTGGCAGATATTTGTATTGTAAAGAAATTTTCTTTATGATATTAAGAAAACTGGAGTCTGGCACATCAGATACAACTGGTGTCTAGTACATCAGATATAATGGTAAAGTTTTTATTTTTTTAAATAATAATTTTAATTAGTTATTTCCCATTTTTTTCCTAATCGTCAGTATTAAAGTGTTACATCTCCCTATTACTCATTGAATATTGTCCTGATGAAGCCAGAAAATTGCAAAAGGAGGCCTTAAATAAAGCTATTTAATTTTGTTTTATTATTTATTGAAGTCTGGTGTATTTCCATGACACAAAATACTGAGTTGTACATTACAAAAATTATTTTGGCTTTATCCCTGGGAGTTCTTACTGATTCAGGATGACACTAACACTTGCCTCATATGAAATGTTTCTCCCAATGAATGCCTGTTGTATGTATGTATTTAAAGATCTGCTAGGTCAAATTCCACCCACTATATACTTAGCTTCTGAACTCACAACTGAGTTGTTAATGCTGCTAAAAATAACTTCCATCCCTTTTTGCTTTTGGTGAGCAGAGGTTACCAGAAGGAGGAAGAGAAACAGAGTGGTTTCTTGTTGCTTTGCAGCAGTTTCCCAGATAGTCTATTCTTGAAGCATTCCATAAGATTTTTTTTTCAGCTCTGAGTTTTACAACCCTCAGCTTCAGATTTCTTTGATTTATTTGTTAAGATGATAGAAGTCTGAAAAAGAAGGTAGCTGCTGGGTAGCATAAATATCACATTCTGTTGGATTGAGATCTTACTACAGGCCTAGACAAATTAAATTCCACTAAGTTATAGTGCTGCCTGCTGGTTGTATCTGATGGCCCTCTGTGGAGTTGCATGTCAGAATTATGTGGGTGTGCCTTATTACCTCAATTCAGTGGGAAGTCAGAAATAATTTTGGCCCTTAGAAATTTCGTAATTTGTAGAGTTGTACATAAAAACACATACTAGATGGAAAGCATTTCAAAATCATTATTGTACTCTGTTAAGGGGAAAAACATGTTTTGGGATGCAATTGGATGAACTGACTCTTATCATCTTGAGTGTTTTCTGCATAGCCTGTGGTAAGATGTAAGGTTAGATGGTCTGTTGGAATGTGACAAATTTTAGCAAACTTCTTAGAATTTCAAAAATCAGTTCCCCTATGGGAGTGGTTCTTGTTTAGCTAATATTTCAGTGCTGGACCCTTATAAGTAATGTTCTCCTTTGCCTGTTTTGTATGTAAATCTTGCCAAATACATTTTTGAAAATAACACTGGAATAGTCAATAAATTCTGATTTACTATTTGTCTTTGTCTTTCTGTGGATAATCATATGAAACCTCTGACCAGTATTTCACTTTATTTGTAGAAAACACCTGTCATTTCAAAATTTGCAAGAGCACATAGAACAATTGCTAGCTGAAAATGGTGGGTCAGAAGATGGTCAAGGTAGGTGAACATAGAATGTCTCTTGATTTGGAAATTTCTAAAGTAGACAAACTGGGACCCTAGGAAACCTTTCCACCTGAGCCTGATTCCTCTCTTGATTCTACATGAAGCACAGATGTGACAGTTATCAGTAGACAGATACGTAATTTGAACAGCAGTGCTTGAAACAGGAAGCAAAAAGTTTGTTCTTTTAAACTAAAATATGCCATTAGGAGAAATTCTTAAATGCATAGTATTTTCATAAAACAGTAGCTTGCCCTTGCTTTTGATATTTGGTATCAGTTGTGTAGTGAAATATTTCCAAAAATGCAACCTTATGCTGCACAGCCCAGTGCACTCTGGGAGTTTGCCTATTATGTCAATGTTTTTTCTGTTCTTTTATGACACTGGTCACCAAAAATTCATGTTGATGATACTTTACAGTGCTCTTTCTGGATTCAGTGGAAACTATTGGTGGGTAGCAAGACATGGATACATATTTTAGATATTTTGAAAAACTTCAGCATGTGAAGGTGACTTATCATGCCTATAATCTTCTTTATTTCTTTAACATAATTATGATAAAGATTCTATTGTTTTTATTTTATTTTTATGAACAATGTAGTGTAAGTGCAAGCAACTTGTGTTTCTCTCTTTTTGCTGTAAAATTGCAAGCAGTGGCCAAAGTTCACTGGGCCGTAAACAGCAGAATGAAAATTGACAGGGATAAGTGCAAAGTTCTACACCTAGAGAAAAAACCCCAAATATGGTTACTGGATGGGGGTGTACTTAGCTCAGTAATACTATGAGTGAGAAGGATCTTCGGATTGTTGTAGATCAAAAGCTGCATATGAGCCAACTATGTGATGTGGCTGCAAAAAAGGCGAATGCTGTTTTAGGATGCATTAACAGAACATATTATAGTCCCCAAATCCTTTGAGGTACTAGTTCTCCTCTATTCAACACTGGTTAAGCCTAATCTAGAATACTGTGTTCATTTCTGAACACCACATTTTAAGAAGTTTGCCAACAAACGGGAGCAGGTTCAAAGAACGGCAACAAGGGACTGGAAACTAAGCCCTGTGAGGAAGGACTGAAAGAAATAGGCATGTTTAGCATTGAGAAAAGAAGACTGAGCAAAGATATGATAGTGCTTTTCAAATACTTGAAAGTCATACAGAGGATGGCAGGATCTCTTCTTAATCATCTCAGAGTGCAGAACATGTAATAATGGGCCAGTAATGGGCTACAGGAAGCAAGATTTAGGCTGACTATCAGGAAAAACTTCTTAACAGTTAGATAAATATGGCAACAGAACCAATTACCTCAGGAGGTGGTGAGCACTCCAATGCTTGGAGGCATTCAAGAGAAAATTGGACAACCATCTGTCAGATCTGCTTTAATTTGGATTCCTGCTTTGAGCAGGGGGTTGGACTTGATGGCCCTATAGGCCCCTTCCAGCTCAATTATTCTGTGAGTCTATGATTTGGCTTATTTTAAGGAGGAGAATTTCAGTGAATATTGTCAGTCTTGATTACTGTATTCCTTACACTGTTGTTTTGCAAATCTTTCTCACCGTCATTCCTGAAATTTTCATTTTAGATCAGGTAGTAGAGGGCAGACTTGGTCCTTCTACTGTGGTGCTGGACCACACCAGTGGGTTTGAAGGACTTCTGTTGGTGGATGATGACCTACTTGGGGTGAGTGAGAGAAAAACTGTGAGTGTATTAGATCACAGGATGTCAAGACATGTTCTAAACCCCTTCTGCTTAGTTGTTTTGTTTTATCTTTTTCTTGATGCTGCTGCTCTGTTTGTCTCTGTATATCGCCGTTCTCCCATTGCTTTGCAGGCTGGTATACAGGGAACACAAGCTCCCTTTGAACCATGGCTATGAAATTGCAAACTAGCTCTGGGAATGTGCTTTCCTATCTCTGGTCTCCTTCTTTTCCTGGAAAAAATCCTCTCATCCACAATTTGCTAGCACTGTTGTGAACCATGATTAAGGTTAACTAGGCTTCCTGTTTACCATAGATCTGGAACTACAGTTTGAAGTGCCTTTTAGATCCTAATGCAAGGGGAATATTAGCTGTTAATGTTATTGGCAACAAACTATTTAGTTTCCATTAATTGAGAAATTTGTGGAAGTATCAGGAGAGACGGTTGACATAAATCTGATATTATAGCTGCAGTTGTACTTTGGGTTGATAGAAAATGGGCTTATCAAGAGATGCTGAGAGATCCTCCTTCCTGATAACTAAAGTACTGTATCAAGTCTGTCAAGAAACTGGAAAATTGAGGGTTAATGGACTCTGATGCTCTTTTGGAAAATTCGGGCTTTGTAGTCAGGATGGCTGTCTGAGAGAAGTGGGGGTGATGCCACCAGTAATTGAAAGGGAGTAATACTGGCGGCTTATTGGTGTAACAGTTGCTTTCAAGGTGAGGCTGGCTCATTCTTTGGTACTAAGCTAATTGCAAGATTTACAGCAGATTAAGGAGAGGGGTCAGAAACTGCCTTTGCCTTTTTGAATGTTGGGGAGAATTTGATGCCTGATTGGAAGATCCTCTGGAAGAATCTAGAGGTGAATGCTTTAGGTATAAAACTAGTGTCAGAAATTCCTTTTGTTGGCTTAGTTATCTCTCAGGCGAGATACTATATTCATTTGCTGTTCTGTACTTTGTGTATGGATATGGTAAAGCTGTACTAGAGAGTAGGTACAGTGGTGCCTTGCTTGACGACGTTAATTCATTCTAGCGAAATTGCTGTAGGGTGAAATCGTTATCAAGCGAAATAAAAAAAACATTGAAACAGGCGAAATCGTTATCAAGCGAAATAAAAAAAAACATTGAAACGCATTGAAAACCGTTCAGTGCATTCCAATGGGTGAAATACCTGCTTATCCAGTGAAGATCCTCCATACGGTGGCCATCTTCTGGTGCCTGTAATGCAAGGAATCAGTCCCTAACACAGCCGCCATTTTCTACAGCCAGCGGCCATTTTGAAACCCGACGATAAGCTGTTTGCTGATTGTCGTAAAGTGAAAAATCGGTTCCCAAAGCAGGGAACCGATCAACGTTAAGTGAAATTCCCCCATCTAAACATCATTTTGCGGTCGCAAAAGCGATTGCAAAAACTTCAACGTTAAGCGGATTTGTCGTCAAGTGGGGTAATCGTCCAGCGGGGCACCACTGTACTTTAATATTTATTTATTTATTTATTTGTTTGTTTGTTTGATTGATTTATATCCTGCCCATCTGGTATATTCTACCACTCTGGGCGGCTTACAGAATATCAAAAACAATTTAAAAAAACAAACGAACAAACAAAACCATAAAATCATTAGAATACAACAATAACAAATAGTGCAGGAATAAATAAATAATAAATAGCAAAGCAAAGAAATCAGTAGTTGACAGGAGGGAAGGCCTGGATGTACATCCATATTTTCAGTTGGCATTTGAAAGTACCCTGTGCTGAGGCCTCGTGAATTTCCAGAGGAAGGTTGTTCCAAAGGCGAGGAGCCACCACCGAGAAGGCCCCGCTTCGTGTCTTTTCCCTCTGGGCCTCCCTCGGCGTCAGGCTCCTCAGCTTCACCTCCTGACTCATGCGGGTGATCCGAGTAGATCTTGGTGGTTTTGCTAGCTCTCTTATTTTCTGTTGTGCTTTCTCTGTGTTGTTTTTACCTCAAGCTCTTAATTATGTGCTTCAAAACATCTCTGTTTTTGCAACTATTAAGACTTCTTTTGAAACTTCACTCTCTTTGACTTTTCACCATCTTGAAATAAAGGATGAAATTTCTTCATACAGCTGTTTGGCTTTTTAAGAGGGTTTGTCATTTCTAAAACCAGACCTTGCCTTGACCATCTACTGGGATCCTGTATGTTTTGTGAGTGCGGTGGTATTTCTAACTGGCAAGGTTGGTGTAAGAATCAAAGCGCTTAATGATGTAAATTTTGGAGAACTTCCAGGAAGCACTGATTAGTCTGGTTAGACTAAGGTTTTGGGAGGTTCCTGGGCAGGAAGATTCTCCCAGCCAACAGCACATTTGGAGCTCCTGGTCTCACCCACACCAGGATAACTAGAATAGTGTAGCTGAGTGGTTAATGTTTGTCTCCCTGAACCTGGAGATCTTTGACAAATTCTTTGTTACATTCCGCCTTTGTTACTGCATTAGCTTTTCTTTTCCTAAGCCCTCTGTTGTCTGTAATTCTGAAATACTTCCTCATTTATAGTCTGAATTATGCTACTGTACTTGTTCTTGTATTATGCTTGTTGTTGACCTGTTATAATTTCATAGGTCAGTTTAAGGTAATTGGAATGTCCTGTTAAATTTTTTTACTGATTATTCTTTGTTTCTATTTTGAAAAGATTTTAGAGATCTTCTTTATTAATATCATTCTTTTCCTGCTTTGTCTTGGCCTTCTTGGATGATTAGTTTTTTTTCTTCTCATAAGTGCTGCTGCTGATTATATTATCATGAGTCTGGGAGTGCCACAAGAGGCACTCCTCAGACTGAACTGTCTGTCTCCTCGGCTGAAGATATTGAGGCCACTCTGGAGGAGACCCTAAAAGGACTGTGTTTGGATGAGCAGGGGCAGAAAGACCAAAAGAAGAAGGAGCCACCAGAGGGTGTCATTTTGGAGGAAAAGGAGGAAGGAATAAAAGGAGGGGAGAAGGAGGAAAAGGGGCAGTTCGAGATAGAGGCGAGAGAGGCTTGTTGGATGGAGGAAGAACAACAAACGAAAAAAAGGACTGGGTTGTTATAGTGCAGGAGAACCCTTGGAGAAGGGAGTGGATAGAGTTTAAATTTCCTAGGGTGTATGCAGAGAAGGAACAGAGGAGAAAGACGTATAGAAAGCCACCTTACTGGGGCGAGACCAAAGAAAAGGAACAGAGGAAAAAGTTTAGAGAGTGGCAGCAATGAGAAGCTCAGAGACGGAAGAACAAGCCATGTCTTGACTGTCCTGGGAAACCCTGTGGAATGAGCCCCTTCAAACCAAGGCTAAGACCGAACCTGAGCAAGAAAGTGTGGGAGCCCCGGGTGGGCTGGGTTTTCCACCCTCCTCAATAAGGTCAGGTGTATAACCAAAGGATCGGGCATGCCATATAGGTGGTGATACAGAGACTTAAGTTTTTCCCCCTTTGCAACTGGAGAATTATTTGTTATGGTGTGAAGAAAAGGGCAAAGGCACAATGTCTCTGAAACAAGAGGCAGAATCTGTTGTTAATGTTGAACAAAGCAAATTGCCACAAAATAAAGGATTTTTGTTACAAACGCATGGTGTTCTTGAGTCATCCATCAAGCATGAATTAGATGAAGGAGAGAATGGAATCACACAAGATCACAATTACATATGTATCACAGTAGCCAAGATTTTCTTTGTGTGCTTTCCATGCCCCCATAGTTCACCCACTGGGTTTCAAATCTCAGTTAAGGTGGAAGTTCTCAACCACCTTTGCACTGAACATACAAGCAACTGTTGCTGTGTGCTGTCTGTGTTCTTGTATTATGCTTGTTGTTAACCTGTTATAATTTCATAGGTCATACAAGCAACTGTTGCTGTGTGCTGTCTGGTATTACATTGCAAGCAATCATACGCCCACGACTCCGTTCCAAATAGAGGGTGGTGTCCTTCTGTTTTTACTAAGCAGATCTTGCACTGCTCATCTCATTTGTTTTAGGCTCTGTCTCCTGAACCCGACTGTAATCATTTGTGCTTTGGACTCTTTTATCGTTTCTTCTGGTACTTGGTGTCTTGATCTTGCTGTTTCTGGCACATGGTTAAGCATGTTCTCATACAGTCCATCTGGTTCCTGCAGTTGTCTTATTTCAGGTTCTTCATTCATGCTGATCCCCAACCTGTCCGTATGACTCGCTGGGAAGGTTGTGAGGCCAGTAAAGATTGTACTTTTTCCAGCCTTGCCTTGCACATATTGGCAATAAGTGTTTGTTCTGGGTAAAATGAGAGTAGCCTGCCAATATGTAGCTGTATTTTTTGGGAGAGTTCCAATGTCTACGGTCCTTGTAGATCTCCTAGTGTCTTTGTGAGCTCAGTCCTTGTGGCAGCAAACCGCTGGTGAATTTTTTTGAGACTTCAATCACTGGAAGTGACCTTGTATGTTCTTTAACTGTTTTTTCTCCAGATGCATGTCAGGTATGAGATGGGGAAGCATGATATATAAGAGTTTCTTTTTATTTCAGGTAATTGGCCATAGTAACTTTGGGTCTATCAGGGCTACCACCTGTGTATATAAAGGTAAGAGAAAAAAATGACCAGCCATAGTGTCAGTCTTACTGGGAAAATGTTTGTTGCAAGTGGATAGCAGCTTTAGGGGATAGTTTATTAATAATGATATTAAATAAATCCAAAACATTAATATTTGGGTTGCAGTTGTTTGTTTTTCAGAAGAAAATATCTGCCACTATTGTTTCCACCTGAGTAGGTACAGTGGTGCCTTGACTTAAGAACTTAATCCATATTGGAATAGTGGCTGTAAGTCAAAACGTTCTTAAATCAAAGCAGCATTTCCCATAGGAATGCATTGAAAACCAATTAGTCTGTTCCAGCTGTTTTTTTTGTCCTTATTTCATGGCACGGTTCATAAGTAAAAGCATTAGTTCCCATAGGAACTAATGCAGAGCTGGTTAATCTGTATTCTACCACTGGAGCCATGACTATGGTTCACCACACCACAGTACACAAACCCTAAAAGGCCAGAATCCAGCAACCATTATTCTAGCACAGACCCCCTCATCACAAAAAGAGGGCATGGGGGGTAGAGACTTGAGTCTAAGCTGTATTTCAAAGCAAACAGAGCAGATTAGAAATGCAAAGAGAACAAAGCAAAAAAGCAAGGGAAGCAGGCATGAAGCATTCCAAAAACAAACGGAGCAGATCAGAAATGCAAAGAGAACAAAGCAAAAAAGCAAGGGAAGAGTGCATGAAGCATTGCAAAAACAAACAGAGCAGACCAGAAATGCAGAGAACAAAGCAAAAAGCATGCAAGACACATTGAAAATGGGAGAACCCCCCCAAAAGCAACCAAACCCCCCAAGACCCATCGGAAATGGGGGGGCAAAAAAACAAAACAAATTCCCCAAGACCCATCAGAAATGGGAAAAAACACTCCAAAAAGGAACCAAACCCCCCCATCGTAAATGGGGGGCGAACCAAAAAACAAACACCCTCCCAAGGACCATCACAGCACAGAAACATAACCCCCCAAGCCGAAAATCACGCTGGAAAAATACCCAGAACAGTTTTTAAAAAGTATAAAGCAGCACCTTACCTTAGCAGGCAGCCTCCTCGGATCCCATATTCTCTAATTGCCCGGGAGAAAGAGCTATAAAGAAGCAGTCTTGTCGCCACCTACAGTTAGCTACAGTATTTGAATTTCCCTCCCTTTTCCCCAGCCTTTTTTTTCTGTTTGTAAGTCAAAGCTCTGTTCGCAAGTCAAAGCAAGATTTTCTGAACGGAGCTGTTCGTAACTCAAAACGTTTGTAGGTCAAGGCGTTCGTAAGTCAAGGCACTACTGTATTTGTTAGAGGAAAGCCTATAAATAATGTCCAGTATGTTGGTCATGTTAGGAAAGAAAGAATGAAATTGCCCTTTAGAAGTGTTCTGGATGGTGTATGTTGTTTAGTTGTCTTATGCTGAGTGATGAGTCTAGCTTTTTAGCTGAGACCAAGTCACCTGACACTTGTGCTACTGTCTTACCTTTTCAGGAAAATGGATTTATGAGGTGCTGATTTCATCCCAAGGCCTCATGCAGATTGGCTGGTGCACCCTCAATTGTCGGTTCAATCAGGAGGTAATGAAACAACATTGCGTTCTCTAGCTTGCAAGGGCAAGTCTAGGCAAGTTGTCTTCTGTTTTTTTAATGTAATGGTATTTTACTCAAACGCACAAGAAGAGCCATGGAAAATTATGGATCATGATAAAAGAAATGGGTGTGCCACATTTTACTGTCCTAATACAGTATGTAAGATATACTGTTGGGAAGAGACTACTGTTAGGGCAGAATATGGAAAATTGAATCATTTCCCATAGGCAGTGGTATCAGACAAAGGTTTATTTTATATCCCTGTTTTATAATCTACTTTTGCAGTTCTTTTACTAAAGGTTGGATTGGAGAAGAGGTGTTGTCCTTTGATAACAATACACTCTGCTTATGTTGGGTATAAGACTGAACTTATTTATTACTAGAGTTGGGATATTCATATTCGTCTTGTGGGGAAGATGAATACAGATATTGCCACCACAGGTGGCTGGGCCAATTGGACCCCCCCCCAAACTGGATCATCCACTTATTGCTTGTGGCGCATGTGGCACATTGTCATTCACACTGCACCAATTGTGGAAGTAGCCCAGCCAGAGCTTCCCCTGTGCTACTGACCACTCAGCAGCTTAGCAGGGAGGCTCATTATCCTGCCTTTTCATCAGATTGGTCAGCAATGGAGGGAGGCGGGGAAGCCCCAGCCAGGCTACTTCCATGCTTGGCACGGCATTAATCTCTAATTATTACTGTATGTAATTAATATCACAAATATACATGGACAACTGATATTTTAAATGTGGGTGTTTCTCTGAGTTCTGTAGTTGAGACTAGTGTGTTTCTCAGTGCTTTTTGATATGACACTGACAGTGGTTAATGGAAGAAGGAGAGCAGCACTATGAAAAAATGCTTGAAGAGCATAAAGCACAACAAGTGCTTGAAAAATCCACTTTCAAAATCCACTTTCCACCTGTGTTGTAGATATGTAATGCTTGTAAACTATAGAAACAAATTAAGCCAGAGTTTAAAACTGATCCAAAAATCTTGTATCTCCCTTTGAAGTGAAATGCTATGTGTAAGTATCAGCAGACAAGCATGCCCTGAGAAGTAGTTGTTTGAGTGTATTTGGTTTAGGTTGCTGTCCTGTTCCTCATTTTTCTTAGAATTTGTTGACAATGAATCTGAATGCATTATTTATACAGGAGGGAGTTGGAGACACTCCAGATTCATATGCTTATGATGGAAATCGAGTGCGCAAATGGAATGTGACCACAACCAACTATGGTAAAGTGAGTGTCTAATTTCAATTATTTTTCTTGCCAGAGGAATAAACAAAACATGTCTCTCTTCTTTGGCTTGGGTCCAGAACAAGAACTATAGGAAGCTGCCTTACTCCAAGCCAGACTGTTGGTCTATCTGACTCCTCACTGTCTAAATGGAAGAAGCTTTCCATGTTTCCGTATTGGTGTATTTCTCAGTCCTACTAGAGATGGAGTGCGGGTGATGATTGAACTTGAGTTTTTTGAATGGTCTAAAATGGCTATTCTGCTGCTAATGTATTTTACAGTAGATGGTTACCTACATAGATGCATTTCTTTTAACATTCTTATGTGTCTGACACAGCTGGCACTACTTTGTGAAAGCTTGTGACTTTAAGATGCCATAGGGGTCTTTGTTCTAGTAACTGAGCTATTAACAAGTCAGAATTGAAAGAAGTCTTGTAACAGTGCTCTCATAAAAATCAGTATCTCTCATTACTTAATATCAAACTTTAAATTCAATAGAAGTTGTCTAAATACAGTGGTGCCTCGCACAACGAGTGCCTCACACAACAATGAATTCACACAACGATGCCTTTTTCTGTTAAATTTGCTGCCTCACACAGCGAGGTTTCCTATGGGGGATTTTCACACAACGATCTCCCTTTTCGCTCCTGTAAAAGTGTCTTACAATGTTTGGACGCTGTTTTAAATGATTGCAATGGTTAGTCCACCTCCTGAAACCTATGCAAACTGATTTTGGTGTTGTTCTGACACTTCGTTAATTTATGATGATTTTTTGTTTTTTCCATTGGAAACCATTAGACAGACCATCCAATGGTTTCCAATGGAGAAAATTCAAAAAATCATCATAAATTAACGAAGTGTCAGAACAACACCAAAATCAGTTTGCATAGGTTTCAGGAGGTGGACTAACCATTGCAATCATTTAAAACAGCGTCCAAACATTGTAAGACACTTTTACAGGAGCGAAAAAGGACTTCGCAAAGGCATTGAAATGTATTGAGTCGGCTTCAATACATTCCAGTATAGGAAACATTGTTTCACTCAACGATGTTTCCTATGGGGATTTTCACTGAACGATGGCAATCCGTTCCAATTGGAACGGATTAACTGGTTTTCAATGCATTCCTATGAGAAATGGTGTTTCACAGAACGATGTTTCACACAACGTTGATTTTTTTGGAACCAATTAACATCGTTGTGTGAGGCACCACTGTATAAGATATTGCAGCTGTACAGTTTGCTATGATAGAACATTACATGTTATCTACATTGACAACAGGGAGCAACAAAGCAATGTATTTCAAGTTCATTTATGTTTGAAAGCATTGTTGTAGAAAGGTCTGACTTGTCTGCGCACATTAGGAAGGTCATTTCCATTCCCCTCCTTATGGTCACTTTGCTAGGATTATATATTCTCTTGATTGTAATATCATAACAAGCTCTGTAGCTACTTGTTCCACCTTAGCAAGCTGTGCAGCTGCTTGAAAGTAACTGGACATTACATCCACAGTAGCTAAAATAGTTCTGGTGCAGTTGGTTGCAATGGGAACTACACAGCTGATTCTGCAGTCTGCTTTGCCTGACTTGTAATGCCTAGGAAAGCTACACCTTTGTAATTTTATTTCTCTCAAAAACTCATGAGATTCCAGGTATTGCATACTTGCATGTGTACCTCAACCACCAATATTACCTTCCAAATTTTGACTCTGTGCATTGCAAACATATTCTTAAAGCTCACATATCCAGGACTGGCCACCACATTCTCTCATATATCTATGCCAGTGACCACCATAATTTAATGGATACCTGCATACACTAAATATACATCCTACACTTCAGCTGTTACTTCTCTATGGTCTTCAGTCAATGCTTATCATTAATATACTGTAGATCTAGAATTCAGTATGCTACAGTTGGCAGCAGATTGAGTTGAAGGTCAAAGAGTGATTAGTATAGTATCGTGATCCACAGCGATTTTGCTTGCTATAAAGTTTAAAAGCCAACAACCAACTGCAATTCCCAATTACAATTAGATATACATTCTCTCTCTCCAATAGAACTTGAGAGAATATTAATGTGAGAATGTATATAAATGAAGAAAGTGTGGTAATGGCTAAACAAATAAGGAAGACAAAACACTGGCTCACAAAATGTTCCGTATGCATTCCTATCTTAAAAGTAGGCACCACAGAGTACAGTAACTTTAGGACAAGTTTCCATATGAGCGATATGATGCTCAAGATTTTGCAATAGAGACTTTTACTATATGTGGAACAGTAAATACTGAACATTCCAGCTGGATTCCGAGAAGAAAAAGACACTAGAGATCATATAGCAAACATGTGGTAGCTACTGAAATGTACCAAAGAATTTCAGAATAAAATCACTTTATGCTTTATATATTAAAATAAAGCTTTTGATTGTGTGGCTCATGAAAAGTTATTGTTGTTTAGTTGTTAAGTCATGTCTGACTCTTCGTGACCCCATGGACCAGAGCACGCCAGGCCCTCCTGTCTTCCACTGCCTCCTGGAGTTTGGTCAAATTCATTAAAAGTTATGGAGCATGCTAAAAGAAATGGGTGTGTCAAATTTAGTTATCCTAGTGCATAATGTATACTATGGAGAAGAAGCTATTGTTAGGGCAGGATATGGAAAACAGAACCATTTCCCATAGGCAGTGGTGTCAGACAAAGGTGTCGTTTATCTCCTTCTTTGTTCAATCTATATGCAGAACATACGCAGAAAGTTGGGTTGGATTCAGATGAATGAGAAATGAAAATTGGTTAGTTTTTATACTTGGCTCAGTCATCAATAAAAATGGAAACTGCAGCCAAGTAATCAGGAAAAATCAGAGAGGGTAGGTATGAAGGAACTGGAAAGATCCATAGGTGGGAGGAAGGACATGTTTCTGGGATCCAAGGCCAGAATAATTCCTTAGGTATTGTTTCCAGATTACTATGTATGGATGTAAAAGTCAGTCACTGAAGAAGGCTGACAAAGAAAAAAAATCAGTTAATTTGAAATGTAGTGATGGAGGAGAAATTTATGGATACCATGGATGGCTGGGAAAAAACAAAGTGACTTTTAGATGAAACCAAGTCTGTAATGAAGCTAAAAATGACTAAACTGAGGCAATAATACTTCAGACATACAAGAAGACAAGATTCACTGGAGAAGACAATAATTCTGGGAAAATTGAAAAACTGAAGGTTGTTGTAGGTTTTTTGGGCTGTTTGGCCGTGTTCTGGAGGTTTTTATTCCTACCGTTTCGCCACTCTCTGTGGCCAGCATCTTCAGAGAACAGTAGTTAGAACTCTGTCTGTGTTCTGGTGTAGCGTGTGGGATAGTTGAGACTCAACTATCAACTATCCCACACACTACACCAGAACACAGAGTTCTAACTCCTGTCCTCTGGAAATGCTGGCCATAGAGACTGACAAAATGTTAGGAAGAAAAACCTCCAGAACACAGCCAAACAGCCTGAAAAACCTAAAACAGCCATCAGATCCTAGCCATGAAAGCCTTCAAGAATACAAAGTGAAAGACTGTAGGAAAAGAAGACCCAACATAAAAGGGATTGATTCAGTAAAGGAAGCTATAGATGTTAGTTTGCAACATCTTAGCAGGCCTGTTAACTACTGTATTCTCTTTAGGGATCTGTAAACCCTGTGTCCCCAGGGTTTGTATAAGACAAGTGACTTGATAGCACATAATAATGGCAGAAGTACTGGCATAGTAGACAGAAAAGTCATTGACCTCTGGCATGGGGTATGGAGCAGAATGTCACAGTGCTCTTGGAGGGCCTTTAGTTGTGGCCTGTTTGACCAGTTTGGAAGCACTACTGTACCAAAACAGCCTCCATGCTCCCCCTAGTCTTACTTAATAACTGTATCTTTCTCTTTTTCCCCTTGCAGTCTTGGGCAGCAGGAGATATTGTTAGCTGCTTGATAGACCTGGATGAAGGAATCATTTCTTTCTGCCTGTAAGCATCCTTATAAACCATCTCTAGATGTTGCTAGTCTGCTGTTTTCTATCCTGTCATCTCCTAAATGTGTTTACTGAGGGCTTGAATCAAGCCCTGCCAAGAGGTAAATCATTCTTTCCTAAAGATTGATTCAGTAAGGTGCCTTCCTTCTTTTTTTTCAGTGTTTTCCTGTGGAACTGGAATTTTTCTGTTTTTAAAATACATTTCTATTCTGATATAAATATTCTGTAGGCTTGGTACAAGAATGATAAATCATGGAGAGGCATGTGAAACCAATTCAGATTCATTCAAGTAGTGACCCACTTAGGTAGTTGTTTCTAATGTGACTGCTGTACCTCATAGGAAGTCGTGAGAGCGGTGCAAGCTTCCTTACTAGCACATCTGTGTATCCAAAGTTACACAGAACCTCTTTAGCTATACAGTACAACTTTTTCAAAGTGTTTTGGGCACTGTTTGAATGCTTGCCCACTGAACAATTGCTTTGAAGCTGTCTCTGCTACTAATGATGGCCATGATGATGATGATAATGATGCTAGAAAAGAAAGGGCAGGTAATACCTTTGTTATAAAGGTATCACCTGCCTTTGTTTTTGTGTTGTGTGTGGACCACACATCTTTTTTTCTAGATAATGATGTCACTTATAAAGTATGCCCTTTGTTCAGTAGCAGCAACATCATTGTTTAGTTTTCGCAATAATTGCAATTTCTTCTGTTGGGTCTAGAAAGTATACCTTGATGGGGACAGCTTCCTACAAGACCATATGTCCTTCTCTGTATTATTCTGCTGAGCCTGAAGTTTTAACTGTACACTATTTATGTTCTAGGGCAGCTGGCACACAGAGCGCTTTCTGCAGGCACACAAGCCATAAGTCACCAGATCTTTCTTTTCTTTTCTTTTTCTTTTTTTTATTTATATCCCGCCTATCTAGTCAGTTAAGACCACCAGATTGCTACCCCCCCCCCCCCCCCCCCAACACCCAGCCGGGGGCCGCGATTGCGGTGCTGGCGTGTCAACAGGCAGTGAACCAGGATCCGGAGCAGCTGGCGGTGGATTCGGAGTGGGGTCTCAACACACCTCTGTGCCTGAGATTCCCCCTCCTGGTGCCACTTTCAGTTCCATCACCACCACGGCCCATTGCCCGCTGGTGTTGTTGTTTTTGTTTTTCAATTTGGGCACTTGGGCCCAAAAAGGTTCGCTGCCACTGTTCTAGGGCATCTGACATCAGAGAATTGTCAGAATTTGAACTGATACAGCAGGTTTTAAAAGGTTCTTGCTAATATGAAATTTCCATCTGTTAAGACTGAGGATATTGAAACTTAGGAAGTCCTCTCTAATTATTGCTGGCTGTTATATTTATTGTGCCAGATGATGCATGTCATTGGAAAACACAAGAGAACAGTTTGATCTTCTGTCACATTTGAGTTCCTGCTGCAAAAATAAGACAACTCTTGAATGATTAAGATGACTGATCAGGGTTCTTAGACTGATCAGAACCCTTTAAAAAGTTCATGTTTTTAAAATGAACATTATAATCCTGGGGTATTGCAGCAATCAAATTCTGCACTTGGAAAATCGGATTTTATTTTAATGTGTGCCATAATACAAAGGAGAAGCCAACAGTTTGTAACAGCTTTTATTTTTCTATTGTGTCAAAGATTTTATTTCCATCTTCAATTCTATGATGAACTGCATAAACCCTTAGGAATATGTCTCTTTTCTTCCTTAGGAATGGTGTATCTCTAGGAACAGCTTTTGATAATATCTCACGAGGCTCTGGCATGGCCTACTTCCCTGCTATCAGCCTATCATTCAAGGAATCTGTGGCCTTTAACTTTGGAAGCCGCCCACTTCGATATCCTTTGACAGTAATTTTAGACAAATTGAGGAAAGATTGCCCAAAATCTTCTTGCATTGTTATGGTGGCAATGTTTGGAGATGAATTGTTCAGGGGTAGAGATTATCGTCACTATGATTGATGGGTGTCGTTAGGTGGTCTTTTGTGTTCAGTGATCACTGGTCCTTGCGGCTGGTGATTGATCACAGTGACAGATAATCTCTCCCCCTGAGCACAATATACACCCACAACAAAAAACACACTGGTCCCCATAATCACCCAATATCCTGCAAAGGACAAAAGCTGATCCCACATCTATAAATACTCAGCTATCCAAACAAACTGCACCAAAGTACAGACAGAGTTCTGACTCCTGTCCTCTGAAGATGCTGGCCACAGACACTGGCGAAACGTTAGGAAGAAAAACCTTAAGAACACGGCCAAACAACCTGGAAAACCCATAACAACCAACTCATCATAGACTTTATCTGTTGTATGCTGAGTTGCTTGATTCAGCACATATGATGATTTCTTAACTTGAGGCAATTCTCCAGAAGTTATGCTGGTGTAACTGTGCAAGAGGATTTTGCCACAGTTGTAAGGAAATATTAGTGCCTAAAATGTACTATTTTATTCACCACTTTCCTGGTGCGGTAGTTAAATTGCAGTACTGTAGCCAAGACTTTGCTCACTACCTGAGTTTGATTAGGTAGCTGGCTCAAGGCTGACTCAGCATTCCATCCTTCTGACGTAGGTGAATTGAGTACTCAGTTTGTTGTGTGTGGGAGGCAATGTGTAGCCTGATAATTGAATTGTAAACCGCTCAGAGAGTGGTTTAAGAGCTGCAGGGTGGAATGTAAGCAACACACTTTGATTTTTGTTTCATACCTTTCTGGTGATTTACTGCTGTTATTGATGTAATAATTATTAGGAAAAGTTTGGTACAAATACTACATCATCATCTTAGAACTGCAGAGCTGGAATGGGTCCTATGGATCATCAAGACCAGCCCTACATGCTAGATGTGCTTCACTTATTCTATCTCAGTAACTTCAGGATTATTTGCTTATTTAAACACATTAAATTAAAATAATTGATTTAAAAATATTGATATGCTGAAAGTATCTAACCAGTGTATTTTTTTATTAGAGAGCTACCTGTACCCCATGGGCATGGGAATAGGAAGGCCTCTTCCTCATTGAGTCTTGGGACATACACAATCAGAGAAGATATGCCTATGGGTGTCAGTAGCTGTGGCATCACTTAGACAGGATAACCATGATGTGTTTAACTCTGACTCTTTGTAACTTTGCCTAAAAATTTCAGGGTATCAAAGTAAGGGCTAGTTCAACATCAGCAGAGCCATGTAGTTCCACTAGGTAAAATAAGAAAGTCATCATCATCATCATCTTAGAATTGCAATGCTGTAAATGTCCCTATACTGTAAATCAGTGAGTCCAACCCCTGTCAAGGAGACACAGTAGGGAATCGAGCTCCCAACCTCTGGCTCCACAGCCAGATACCCCACTGACCTATCCAGCATGTTCTCTAGATTCTTCTGCTTCTTCTAAAATTTATTCCAGTGCATGTTGTGCTTAGTACATATCTGTATTGCAACTGTGTGATGCAAGTCTAGGACACATATGAAAATACAGTACAGTATGGCAAGCTTTCTGGAAGATTTGACTGCCGGCTAATAAGAGCCCTAGAGCCTTGTGAAAATAGCTTCTTCAACAACTACAGTTTGTTTCCTTGACCATCTCATACATATCCAGTGGAGGGGTATCAACCCTTACAAGACAAACCAGCTGCGGATTTGGTGAAGGCTCACAAGCTGTTGGAATACCTGAAAAATGTTATCAATATTGGAATAGATGTTTCAGTAAGAGTATATTTTAGTGTTAAATTTTTCTAGACATATTCTGTCCAAAATTGTCTGCTCACTGCATTTATGAAGTTACAATTATTTATTTAATTTATCAGGTACTGTTCAACCAAAGCACTCATCTGTTGTATTGGTTTACAACAACAAACAATAGGCTGTAAACAATAAACTAATCAGTCTAGAGCATCTGGACAAATGCAGATGATTTCACCTTATGCTGAAAAGGGAGCGAAGCATAGTGCTAGATGAACCTCTCCAGAGAGTTCAGTTCTTATATCCATAGGAATGAATGGCATCATGATTCTATGCATATCTATTTAGAAATAAGCCTGAGTGAGTTCAGATAAATATGTATATTTATTTAAATATATATAAAATGTTTACATAATGCCCATATGGTAAAATCCTGTGTGTGTTTTACAAATACAAACCAATGACATCAGTAAAACCCAAGTAACACAGCCAGAACAAAATTGGGTGTTGAAGAAGGAACCTCCCTGACTGAGGTTTTTGTGGCCTTGCTTATGATCAGCAAATTGGAGGGCCATTTGTCTCCATCTTTTAATGGAGCAGGAAATTCACCATTTGGTTCAGAAGACATGGCACCTGATGTCTTTCATTGTTTTCTTTTTCCTGTCACAACTGCGGCTGCAAATAATGACAGCAGCAACCACAGACATCTTCATTCAGCAGCTACACAACCGCATTTCCCCTGTTCTCCTGCAGTGTTACAGATGCAGTGCTGTGGTCCTCTTGCAGTTGCTTCCCAGCAAAATGGGAGCTGCTAGCAATGGCAAGAGAAAAGGGAGGAACTTGTGGCCACTGCAGCAGGTATCAGCTGCCTCTTGAATGGTAGCAAGTTTCAAGCAGCTTTCAAAATTTCAGAAAAACAGCCTTCTGACTCAGCACAAAATGTAAGCCACTAGTGTTCCTATGGGAACTTTCAGCCCTAAGGAAACCCAGTTCTATCCTATCATGCAAAAATAAAATTAAAATTAAAATGTTGTCAGGCACTTTTATGTCTTATGAAGCAGACTTGTCCACAGAAGCTCACATTAAAATATAGTAGTTAGTGTTTAAGGTGCCACAACATTTTTGTCTTCTTTATTTTTTGTTTTTCTTTTGTTTTTGCCTGCTATGCACAGACTAATGTGGCTACGTCTTCTAAAACCACTTCTATCCTATTCCTCTGACTAAGAAGCAGAATTTAGAATGCCACTGAATTGATAGTAGCTGGATTGATTCTTAGTGCCTAGGGTCAGTAAGGACAGGGACCCTATCTAATCCTCCCCTGTAGCTGAGGTATTTACCTTCTCCTATATAAGTTGTAGGAAATACATTCCTGCTCTTGGGAAACTGTTATAATGAGGGCAGAAAAAGAGCCTTCACTTACTGTACCCAGGTGATGTGGTATTCATTGAAAAGAGAGGCAGGTTTTGCTTTTTTGTATTAAGATTGTGTTGCTGAGAGGTAGCAAAGATGGCATTGAACTCGGAAAACAAGGAAAAGTCTACATAGCTGCTGCTAAGGTCCACATTTTCACAGTAGTGGCTAAAATCCTTATTTCTAGTGTTATAAGTCAGGCTAGAGTAGGCCCATTGAATCAGTGGGGTCAGTTGACTCACCGAATCCCCACTGCTTCAATAGACCTATTCTGGTGTGACTTACCATGCTAAGCAATAGGATTTCAGCCAATGTTATGTAAAAGGAAAAAAAAGCATGAATTGTTATTGCAGTCACTTTCCCATGTGCCTTCTGGAGGGAGAATATAAAACACTAATTATAATGAAGTCTCGCTAGCCAGAATCATATTCACTTGTCCAGTCATTAAGTACACTTGGGCAAATGCTCTCTCACTCCAGATTTTCTGTGCAACTGGTTACGCACTAGTTCTTAAATAAAAAATGTTTGTTAAATCGGAAATATTTGGGCAAATGCTCTCCCACCCCAGATTTTCTGTGCAACTGGTTACGCGCTAGTTCTTAAATAAAAAAATGTTTGTTAAATTGGAACACCCCCCCCCCAGCATTTTTGAGGTGGATTTTGGCATGCTTTTCTTTTCTTTTTTTCTTAACTGGGTGTCTAGCTGTAAGGTCTAGCTCTAGATTGGAGAATTTATGGCCTCTCAGATGTTGGGCTCCATTTCCCATCGGATATATCCAGCCTGGCCAGTAGTGGCTGGGAAGTAGCAGCACAGTGATTTACCTAATGCCAAGTGTGGCTTAGAAAGGATAGGCAACAATCCCCTGGCATGTTCCTGGAATTAATGCAATTTCTGTAGATCCATGGTATGTGGTTTAATTGGATACTTGTCCAAGGGCTTCCTCAGATTTTGTAAAGTGAGAATCAGTTTACAAACTTGTGTCACCTTGAGTTTTTTTTATTTCAGGAAGGAAAGTTGGTAGAGAGAGACTCTTCCACTTGGCAGCTTCAAGGGGAACCAACAGTGCTCATTACCCTGGCACACATTTTTAACAACTTTGCCCCTCTTATGGTGAGTTTCCTCAGCTGCTACATCTTTGTTTGCAATAATTTCAGAATCTTCTCTCTTTAGTCATTATTTTCCTAGTTGCAAGGGGGCATGAATGTGCCTTCCGTCAATGAACTCAGCTTATAGCGGTGTTCCGTCAAGCAGGGAACATAGGAAGTCTTTTTGTACTGTGTCAGACTCTTGGTCCATCCAGCCCAGTATAGTGGATGCTAATTGGCAATGGCTCTCCAGGGTTTCGCATGGGAGGTCTGCCTAGTCCCACATGGAGAGGCCATGGATAGAATCTGAGGCCTTCCTCATAAACATCACTGTTGAGCTATGCTCTAATAATCAACAAGAGGAGTCCAGCTTCTTTTATCTTTTGTGCTGGACCTTGTTGTGCTTGCTTTTAGAAAAGCATGGAAGCATGATTTGACCATAAATGGAACTACTGAAGTTGATCTTTGGAACGTCACTAACCCCTCCCACCACTACCCCATAAACAGCCCTCATCGCAAGCAATTCCTGCCTAGGATAAGAAGCAACTTTTTGAGGTTATTAATCCTTCCTCTGATTTGCTTTGCACTGTTCTTTGTATATTCGATTCACAAAATAAGTGCAGGAATACTACCTCCACCAATGTGCCAAGTCTGCATGGTTGTAAGAGTGCCTACCTCCCATGAGGGGGTGGGACAGGATTGCCAACAGTGAAGGCATCATAATGCTAGCTGGAATCTACTGGGGACAGGAGGGTTTATAACCCTTCCTGTCCAGAGGCCAGCCCTATTTCAGTCTTCAAGTGAGGGTCTAGTGTAAGTTTGCTGTTCATTTAAAAGCCAAATAGGAGTTTTTCGCCTGGTTCACCTGATTGGTATATTGAACAAAAGGTGGCTAGGAAATTTTTGCCTGTCCTAGACAGACTGCCCACAGGGGACAAAGGGCAGCTTGGATGGCATGATTGGATTAGATAGGTGGTCACGTCTGAGCAGGTTATGTTGAAATTAGGTATTAGTGGTGAGCCTTAGGCAGCACTAAAGGGAACTCAGTGCATCAGCAATTCAGATCTTGAGGATCAGGGGCATGGCTAGAGGAGCACACTTTTGGACCAACCCAGGTAACACCCACTTCGAGTCTTGACACTTGGAGAGGAGATAGGCCTGGGAAGCTCTTCCAGTTTGGGCCGACCAGGTTGGGGCTGCAAGACTGAAGCAGGGCATAGGGCCCTGAACTCTCCCTTACAGTAAAGGAGGGTGGAGTCAGCAGATCTGCACTACATCAGGCACCACTGTAGATAGGGAAAGTAGATAAAATTGTGGCTCTAGTTAAACCCGTCACTTGATTCTCATCTCTTTATTCATGGATTGAGGATGCAATGACTTGTGAGCAGTGCCTGATCATGGGGAAAGAATATTCTGCTGATTTATTTGGCAAGCTGAAGCTTGTACCTACCCAGCCATCTACTTGTGAGGAATGCTGGCCTCACTTACTATATTTGATAGCAGGAAAGATTTGAAGCCTGAATCGCCTCCTCCATCGGACAGTTAGCTGTGAGGAAGGGCTGTAGACTGCCATGTGGAGCAATAAGTTTCAACCCTTTCCAAGTGCAGAGGAAAGGATCTGCATAGGCAGCTGAAAGAAGAGTGGTGGACAAGTATTTCTCTAATTATATGCTGTAAGAGGCAAACAGACCTTATAGGAAGATCTGAATGAGAAACACTTCTGGGATGTTTGGGAAATCTGAGTGAGACACACTTTGGGATGGGCTGCACTTGCTGTATGCAAGATGAGTTCCGTGGAAATCATAGCTGTTGTGGGCATTCCCAAAGCTGCAGCATGGGCACTGTTGTTCTGGTACCACAACTGGTTCAGACTGTCTGTAACATCATGTAAAACTTACTTTTCACTTCCTCTGATCTGAAAATTCTTCTTCTGCAGTGCAAAGTATACTTGGTCGAAGATGTACTTATGAACTTCCTACTCAGTATCTTGGAAGGGGGCGGGGCTGTGGAAGCACATCCACTTATTCAACAGCTATTGGATCTCATGTGGCTTCTCATGGAGGTGAGTTGTTTGGATGTTGTGATTTCCATGGCATCATTTTAAAAATAATTCTGGCCACCTCTTTTTTCCATAGGGTCTAAGTGTCCTCAGTATATTTTAGCCAGTGTTTTTGTCTTCCTGCTCAGGATTATGAAGTGCATGAATGCCTCAAGCAGCTGCTGATGTCCCTGCTCAGGGCTTATCGTTTCTCTCCCATTGTTCCTGATCTAGGTTTACAGGTAAGTGCCTACTATGTGACATCCCAATGGAAACTCTTGAGAGCAAAGATCCTATAGTGAGGAAAGCTGCTCTGTTGCACTTTTTCAGCTGTTTTAAAGCTGTCTTCATAGCTGTGATCCACTGACCTCTGCAGGTTGGCTTGATTTTCCCTTTTCTTACCTACCCAGATTCACTACCTCCGTCTCACAATTGCTATCCTGAAGCATGAGAAATCCAGGAAATACCTGCTCCAAAATGTCCTGTATCCTTTCTTTATGCCACTTGTCTTTTACACTCCTCCAGTTCTCTTGATGATGCAAGGTCATTTTGATTGTCAGAAGCTTAAGGTGCAGTGTCTTTGGAACTGTCATGTTATAACAAGAAACACATGCCTCCTCCCTTTTTCACTTTTTGGTTGTACGCAAGGTCACTTGCAAATTAATTTCTTGGAGTCCCAATTGTGGAACCTTGGTTTCTCTCTTTATTTGCAAATATACTCTTTCTGAGCTTAGCTATGCAAATACTGGGTGTGTGGAACTGGTGTTAGACAGACTAGTTATATCTTCCCTGTTCATGCTGTGCTAATTACATCAGAGTATCTTCCTTGCTTTGCAAACATATCAGTTTTGTTCACTTTCAGGGGAAATTCAGTCTCACACCTTTCTTAGATACATTACACTCTGAAAAAAAAACTTTCCCTCTTCTGCTCTAACCCTTGACAACTGGTTAGTAACTGGTGATACAGATTAAAACTTTAGTTAAATTTCATCATAACTATCCCAAACATGCTGACTTGGTGGTTTATTATGATGTGTTGAACTTTTTAGTCCTCTCCAAGCAACAGAACTTCTGAGAGGTATGATGAGGAGTATTTCTCATAGATTATCAGTATGTGCCTTGATTACAGAGTTCTAACTCACTTGACATTTTTAACTTCTGTTAGCTCACAGTAATGGACTACCTAATTTAGCACTCTGTTTTCTAGAGTATCCATTCAGATGGCTGAGGAAAGCCCACAATCAGTACATAAGCCAATACCTCCCTTCTGCTGTTTCCTCTCAGCAGCGTGTATGCTATCTCTAAACCTGGAGATAGCATATAGCCATCATGGCCAGCCACAAATAGATGCATCAGTAATCTATAACTTGGTATCTCTCTGTGTTGTTGCTCCAGGATCTTGCTTTAAGGAAAATGACTTCCTTTCAACATCGTGGCCAGCCACAAATAGATGCATCAATAATCTATAACTTGGTCTCTCTGTGTTGTTGCTCCAGGAACTTGCTTTAAGGAAAATGACTTCCTTTCAAAGTTATTTAATTTGGAGGACTATACCAAATCTTGTGACAGCCTGTTTCATATGCAAATTATGAACTATGAGAGGGCATACTTTTCTTTCTCTCACCTGAATCTCCTGCTAGTATCACTGAGACTCTGAATTTCACAGAGGAGGTGAAAAAGTGTCTACACTTTTCTTACATGATGCATAATTTTTAAAAGTTTTTAAAAGTTTTAAAAATTCAAATTAAGTCCCTAAGGTGTTCCTGCCACCTGATGTTAGTTGTCCTTCTGTGCCTTTTTTGGAATAGTACATAGTATCTCAGTTGTAATCACACAGCTGATTTTTTATAGCAGCACATAGTTTCATTTCCAGTACCTTTCACAATAGTGTGGAATATGTCCTTTTTGCAGCTACTCCTCATTCTTACTGTGCTATCCATTATTACCTAAGTTGCTCCCTGGTTAGGAACCACTGGTTTAGTCGTTATTAATATATATTTGAAGTTAAGATGTATTTATTCGCATTCTAAAAACATTGTTTTATAAGCTTATTTAAACTAAACCTTACTTCTAAAAACATTGCTTTATAAGCTTATTTAAACTAAACCTTACTTGGTCACCTAATTTAAATGGATCTATTTGGAACTCTCCATTGTGTACTTGGCTTGTTATTGCCCTAATAATTTGGGATCTGCTGCAAATGTAAGTTACTTTATCTGACCCCTATTTCCAGATGATTTATGAATATTAAGTAGCACTGGTCCCAATTATCTGACCCTTATTTCCAGATGGTTTATGAATATTAAGTAGCACTGGTCCCAATGTGGATCCTTTGGCTGAATTATTCTTTAACTCATCCCATTGTGTATGATTGATCTAAGGACTGTAACAATAAATTGACTGACTAACTGAGTGACTGATCCCATTGTGAGAACTACCCATTTTTATTGCTTACAAGTTTCTTACAAAGTTTCTAGGAGGTTTCTCCTCTGATATTCTATTAGTAGCACAGAAAAACTATCTGTAGAAAGATTAAATCCCTTTTTTTCTGCTGAAAGACCAATCTAGACATTTAAATCAGGGAGATGAATATTGGTTGAAAACTAATGGAAGATGGAGGATACAAACAATCTGTCTTCATTAAATCTTCATGAATTAACTAGGAGAACAAGAGAGTAACTCCTTACGATGGAGAAACACCTTCGTGGGTACATGTTTATGTTTAAATCTATTTACACATCATATAAAAATGTCCTTTATACAAAGCCAGGCTATTTGTCCATCTTTCAAGTATTCTCTGCTCCAACCAGTAGAATATGAGTTTGCATAATCTCATCTTCGAACTGGAGATTTTTAAGCAGAGATTGAATGTCCACCTCTCCAAGATTATTTAAGGTGTGAATTTTCTGCATTGGCAGGGGTCTGGACTCAGTGATCCTTGAGTTCCCTTTCAGCTCTGTGATTTTACAGACTGGAGATGCTGGAGATTGCATCTAGAACCTTCTCCATGCAAAGCACATGCTCTGCCACTAAAGCTATAGTTTCTTCCTTCACATTCAAAAGTGACCTGATAGCAGACAGATGAATCACCTTTCAAGAAGTAGTCACTATGTCCAGTGGCCCATCTTGCCTGCATTCTCTTTTGAAGCATTGTACAGTACGTGGCCTAGCTGCCTGATTAAACACCCTGCCTGTTCTAGTAAGTAACAACTGTTGCAAAAAGTATCTGTTGGGGGAAGCAAATTGCTCCATTCTTTTCATGTCCCAAGATATGCTTTTCCTCTTTGTAATTTCCTCTCCACATGGAAAGGTATAACTCGGTAGTGCATTAGGACTGTAGAAGCAAAACTCAGTGCAATTTCAGAATATACAGTGAGTTCTCATAGATTGTTAACCATTTCTATTGCTTAGGAGGAAATTGGGTAGATAGCAACTTCAGTGATCTTTGCATTGGCTGCTGCTGTATATGAGCAAATGCTTGCTAATAACCCTTTCACATTTCCTCTCCTGTTTACCTTTCCTCAAATATCCTACTGGCTATATATAGTGCTGTCACTGCTGCTTATGTCATTGGGAGTTGGCTTGTTTTCAGGCAGCCTAAATTTCTTCTGTGTTCTGTTTGTGAAGTTATTCTTAATTTACTTTGGGATTGTGTTTTGTGACTCGGATCCCACAGGTACATATACCTTTCAGGTACCTTAACTCTTTGCAGATTTGATGTACTCCGTTCAGTTGTATTTTTTTATATCAAGAGCCCATTGCGTGTGGAGGAGGCTGGTTTACAGGAGCTGATTCCAACTACCTGGTGGCCAAACCGCTTCAACAAAGAGGTGAGGAAAAGGCTGCCTGCTGCTTGTAGATTTCAAGAGTGCTAGAGTATAAGCACTTTGTGTTCAGTGTAGAGCAAGTTCTGCAGATCTACATTCATTTAGTGTCTCCTTACAATTACATTCTCTTATTGGCAATATTATCATTTATTAGTGTTTCCCAGTTCTGCTTTTCACCTTCTGTTACCAGCTTTGTTGACCTTTATTTTTAAAAACAGGGAAAAGAGTCAAAAGAAGTGAAAGAAGAGAGTGCTGAGGAAAGACTGAGGAGACGAGCATATGAAAGGGGCTGCCAGCGGCTCAAGAAACGCATTGAAGGTATGGGACTGGGAAATCTGAAATCTCATGGGGGTTATAAAATACGGCAAAACCATATTGGCCATTGGGCATGCTATTAACTGAACATTGCCTTGCTGCTAATACCTTTGGAATCTCTACTCCTAAGTGAACTTCTCCTTAGAGATAACACTCAGCTTTGCACTGTCTAACTGATGGGAATGTCTCTTGGAGCTGCTCATCAAATTATGGCTTGTTATAATATGGGAATGGTGATTTTCTTTCCAAGAGCTGTGCAGGACTTCAGGGTGATACTTTGGCTTTTCTGAAGCAGACCGGCTGTGTTGGCTGCTGGAAACAATACATATAATGGCTGTATTGTTTGTTTTCAGTGGTGGAGGAACTCCAGGTGCAGATACTGAAGTTGTTGTTGAACAATAAAGACCATGGAGGGGTAAGGATGATTGAAATGCCACATGGATAATGTATGCACAGTGCTCTGAACATTAGCTTGCTTTTTCTGCTGTAATTTTTTTCTCAGTGTGCTGTGCCTTCATTCTGGCTGAAGCCAAGGCCAGGTAGTCCATGCCTTGATCACTATATATGGTCATGTAATGACAAATTGATTGCTGATAGCCTGATACTTCATATACAGAGGCTCAAAATACTGTGCATGTGGTATGAGCAGGCTGCATTATTGAAACATATGTTTGATTCATAAAAAGAAGCTAAACTCTCCTTAGTTTTGAAAGATACATCTCACTAGCTCTTTGGCTATCACAGAACTAAGTTCTTGATTTGTCACCTATGAAGCATTGATATTCCTTGCTGCTCTAGTATTGGGATGGGAACAAAATGATTTTCATACTTTCATACCAATCAGTTGTTTAAGTTTTTATCATTGTAATGATATTATGGTTGTATTTTAACTGTTTTTGACTATTGGAATGTGCTCTGGTATAGAGCGCAATAAT